CTTGCCTCACTTTGAATCTAAAGTTCCCTACGTAAAAGCTTTTTGGAGCCATTGGTGCAGTGTGCACTTATTGTAGCATTCCTAGCCCCACACGACAATCCTATTCCGAAGCTGTCTGCACAGCACCCTCTTCAAATTTCAACTCATAGAAGTGAACTTGCTCAAACTGCTGCTTTGACTTCTTCGATTCAGACCTTCAAAAAAAAGAATGAGAATGAGATATTTAGCGCAGGGGTAACATGTACAGTCATTCTGAAGTCCTTCGGAATGAAGTAAGGGTGAATGGAATCCGAAAAATATTCACTCAATCTCAAATCATATGAAATAAACTGATTCCGTGGCTTATCCTGTATCCCAAGTGTTGAAACACGCTATCAGTGGAGCGATCAGGTTGATCAGGTTGCATAAGTAGGATTATATGCGTATTATAAACAATTACATCATATGAAACTCGAGGACATGGAGCAATCCTATATGAAACTCTTTCAACAACTCAAAAGTGAATTGTTATGGATCTCATTGGAATGAGCTCAACGGCACTTTCAAATTTGGAAGAAACCCCAAAAATTCACGCGAAACGCGTTTTTCGCGTGAGTTTTTGTGGTTTTGTGGCGAGCAATGTACTGATTGTTCCAGAAACGTCACGCTGATTGTCAAAGGCGCAACCCAGAAAATTCGTGTTAACGATTTCCTTTGGTCAGTACGGACCTCTAGACGACAATAACAGATGTGGCATTATCGTGCAAGGAAATCACCCGACAATGTGCTAAGGCCTTGCAAAGTGATATGCAGCAGCTGCAATTTTTTCCTTTATCATACTGTTGTCTGGCGCCTCTCTCTCTCGCCTCATACTCTCCTCTCTGCGCTTAGTCTCTCATTCCCTTAGCACAGCCGATTAGGAAGGTGAGTGAGCCCTTAACCTAAGCGTTTTTGACGGATTCTTTTCCTTTTTTCTTTACTGCCGGCCCATTTCGCACCAATACATTCGTATTCGTGTTCGAGAACCACAGCAATTCGATGATGGCGCTTGTTTGTAAGGTCACGAAGGCAACAACCACTAGCTCACCTGAACGTGAAGAACACGATTATGGGTCAACAACAACGTACAGCACTGCAGCTGATATCTCAACGAGCAGTTGGACGAATGATGAGACAGGTGATATAAAGCGGTGTCCATATAGCGTTTATGTATCCTAAACGGCCAAAAACAGCAGTCAACAAACAAAAGCAAGCCAAATATCCTAAAATTCTTAACTTGCAGCAAGGTACAGCACCAGGACTGTCATCCCGATGAGAAATGGACGACTAGCGAAACAGGTTGTATGAAGTGTTATCCGTATATGTATGTATCATGAAACTTCTATTTCACAGAAAGGTACACTACTGCGACTGACATTCCGACGAGCGATCGAACGACCAGTGAAACAGGTGATATAAAGCGATTCCACATATTAATGTGGCATAAAATTCCTAACCTTCAGTGAGGTTCACTACTACGACTTACATCCCGATGAGTAAATGGACGACTAGCGAAACAGGTTGTATGAAGTGTTATCCGTATATGTATGTATCATGAAACTTCTATTTCACAGAAAGGTACACTACTGCGACTGACATTCCGACGAGCGATCGAACGACCAGTGAAACAGGTGATATAAAGCGATTCCACATATTAATGTGGCATAAAATTCCTAACCTTCAGTGAGGTTCACTACTACGACTTACATCCCGATGAGTAAATGGACGACTAGCGAAACAGGTTGTATGAAGTGTTATCCGTATATGTATGTATCATGAAACTTCTATTTCACAGAAAGGTACACTACTGCGACTGACATTCCGACGAGCGATCGAACGACCAGTGAAACAGGTGATATAAAGCGATTCCACATATTAATGTGGCATAAAATTCCTAACTTTCAGTGAGGTTTAGTACTACGGCTTACATCCCGATGAGTAAATGGACGACTAGCGAAACAAGTTGTATGAAGTGTTATGCGTATATGTATGTATCATGAAACTTCTATTTCACAGAAAGGTACCCTACTACGACTGACATTCCGACGAGCGATCGAACGACCAGTGAAACAGGTGATATAAAGCGATTCCACATATTAATGTGGCATAAAATTCCTAACTTTCAGTGAGGTTCACTACTACGACTTACATCCCGATGAGTAAATGGACGACTAGCGAAACAAGTTGTATGAAGTGTTATGCGTATATGTATGTATCATGAAACTTCTATTTCACAGAAAGGTACCCTACTACGACTGACATTCCGACGAG